TTAGCGGGTGATGCTAATTAGCCGTCGAACCACCAAGTGAGCGGTCGACACAACGGGGACTAGCGTGTTAGCAAACACATGAACCTCGGGAGAAAAATCATCGTGTCAACCTTGTTCTTCCTGTTGGTTTGCATCCCCATTACACAAGCTTACAATTACTCTTATACATATTAAGCTTGTGTAGTTGCTCTTGTAATTAGATAGCTTGTGTAGCTTGCTAATTACCTTCTTACTTGTGTAGCATAGAAGTAGCTCCCTTGCGTGGCTAATTTGGTTTTAGTAACCTTGTTAGTCACATTGCTTTGTTTGTGTAGCTAAGTACTTGCGCTCTCTAATTAGGTATTGGTTGCCTTGTTATTGAGCATTGCTAGTGAGCATAGTTAGATTTGTGCTTTTGCTAACTAGCATGTGTACGAGCTCTCTTGTTGCTTAAAATACTAGTGGCATATGTTTGTGTAACCTTGCTCTTAGAATTATTTAGGAGAGCTCTAGCTAGCCCGGCACCTTTATTGCATAATTGGTATCTTAGCAAGGTGCTAGTGAACATATATATAGGGTGTAGTCTTGGCTAGACCGATTGTTTTAATTCCGCATTTATATCGGTTAGCCAACGCGATTAATTTTAGAAAAGACTAGTCACCCCCCCTCTAGTCCGCCATCTCGACCCTTTCAGCATCCTCGTTCTCTAGGATGTCCCACTCGACATCGTCAGCTACCTCATCGGCGTCGCCATCGTCTTCATCGTCGTCGTTGTCGGTGTCCTCCCCCCGTTCCCGTGCCTACAGCTTCCGCTGCCTCTTCCTCTTTTTGTCCTCCTTTGCCTTCCTCAGCCGCTCGCCCTCGGCGCGATTCGCCGCCCTCACGGATGAATCCCTCGGCAACAGCGCTGGGTGATCCGTGAAGATGAGGTCCCTCGGCTGGTCCCGCCCCTCTCAAAGCTAGTATCAATAGGTCGGGAAATCTATTGAAGAGAAGGCATGAGAAGGGTAAACTTACGAAGATGACGTGGCCTGGTTCCGACCGCAGACCGCATCGGAGGATGTCCCGGCACCGGGTAGACGAAATCGATGGGGCACCCGCGTCGTCCCGCAAGAGCTCCATTGCCTCCTTGATGTGTTGCACGATCTCAGAGTTGGGGAGCACCCCCTCGGTGAGCGTCGTTCACTGCGTACAGCGGGAGCACGTGTGTCATCAACGGCGCCACCCTCCTTGTGTGGTAGGCCCCGATGATGCCCGACCCCTTCAAGCCATTCTCCTTGAGGATGTGGATGGCGGCGATGTGGTCCCGGATCTTCTTCTTGTCCTTCTCCAAGACGTCCCACTTCCTCCACTACTCTGGGGTCTCTTCGATCAGGCGCCAGGTGAACTCCGACAAAGGGGCGTCGGCGTTCTTGAGGTAGAACCACTACGAGTGCCACGCCTTGTTGGACGTTGATAGCCGCATCGACGGGTACTCGGCGACCCGATTGTTCCAGAGCTGGATGTCGGCGCACCCCATCGGCATGTGCAGCTCCTGCCTACCGCTCTTCTCCCTCTTCTTCTGGAGGGTGACGGTGAAGAAGTACCTCCATAAATCGAAGTGGGGGCTGATCCCTAGGAACCCCTCGCACAGGGCAACAAACGCCGCCATGTGTTGGATCCCATTGGGATTGAGATGCTACACTTCGATCTTGTAGTAGTGCAGCAGCCCCCGAAAAAATCTATGGGCAGGGGTCGCAAACCCACACTCGTGGAAGTGGGCGAACGACACCACATAGCCGTCGAGGGGCGACGGCACGTCCTCGCCGGGCAGCAGCCACTCCTCGGCCGCAGTTCGTGCGCGGAGAAGACCGGACAGATGAGGCCCTCCATGCGCTGGAAGGTGATGTCAGAGCGGCACCACAGATCCATTGGAGATGGGGACGGGTGGATGCGAGCTCGACAGCGGCGGGGATGCGGAGACAGAAAACCTGAGCGATTGGTGGCGGCGGTCGTGGCTACGGAGGCAAGGATGCAAGGTATGGAATCTGAGAGGTAAACCCTTTGGTTTTATAGGGGCGATGGATGCAAGAAAACCAACCGCCCGCCTAGATCTCCACGCCTACCACGATCTGCCACAACGTCCCGCCATGGGATGTGCGCACGTAATCTCTGTCCGTTCCCTTGGAAAACTCGCCGGATGTTTCGCCTCTCCGGACGGGCCACGACTCGTCACAAGTAAGAGGAATACGGATCTAAAAGCGCCTCTACGGCCCGACTGGGCCTAGGAGTTCGCAGGTCGCCCCATCGACGGGTTCGACAACCGCTCCAGGCACCTTTAGGGTGAGAGGTGAAAAGGGATGGGCCCGCTAGTGGCCAGTACCTGGACGCACGAGCGCCGCGGGCATCCCGGCCCACGTTCGAGTCTCGATCGGTTACGATCCATGGTTTTTTTTGGAAGAAAGGTACTTAGCCCTCAGGACCGGTCGAATGGACCCGAGAACTATATGGATTGACCGCTGAGAATTTGGGGTCAGTTACCAAGCTGATCCAAGCCGGATCCCTGCGAACGGGATGCTAGGGGGCCCACTCAGACTAGCCCATTAATAGCTCACCGGGTGCCATGATTCGTCCTTAGAGGAAAATCGTGGCATGGCTCGGCCTCTCCGTTTTATCGAAAAAAACACTTGAGGGAAGACAATCGCAAAGCCGAACCGATCCTCGACCGGGCCCCGGCTACGGGAGGGGGCTCAAGGAAAGGGAATCACCGCCCCCAGGTCACGCTGTGGGCAACAAAAGAAGGCCGAGACCTTCAGAGTCCTCCCATTCGGAAAAGCCTCCGAAGGAGTATTCTACTCCTCCGTAGGCTCAGGGGCTACTGTCGAGGACCAATACTAGGGTACCCGAAGAGGAGGAGCTAATAACCATCAACATTGATTCATCCAAGCAGTCAAGAGTGCGACTACAGCTTCAACCGACCCCCAGGTGCGCAAACTCCGCCTCTCTCGGCTTCTGGGGGCGGGCTCTGCCTCGCCCGACACCGAGGCCGCGGGCTCCGCCTTGCTCGACCTCTGAGGGCTAGCTCCACCTCGCCCGGCCTCTGAGGGCGGGCTATGCCTCGCCCGACCTCTGGGGACAGGCTCCGCCTCACCCGACACTGAAGCCGCGGGCTCCGCCTCGCCTGGCCTCTGAGGGTGGGCTCCGCCTCGCCCGACACCGAGGCCGCGGGCTTCACCTCGCCCAACCTTTGAGGGCTGGCTCTGCCTCGCCCGGCCTCTGGGGGCGGGCTCCACCTCGCCCAACCTCTGAAAGCGGGCTCCGCCTCGCCCGACACCGAGGTCGTGGGCTCCGCCTCGCCCGGCCTATGAGGGCTGGCTCCGCCTTGCCCTACCCTTGGGTTTACGCTCCGCCTCGCCCGGCCTCTAGGGGACTCCGCCTCGACCGACCCCGAGGCTAGCAGATCCGTCTCACCCGATGGAGACCCATACCGTCACCAACCACTCCAGGTCCAAGCGATGGGCCTGGGTCAAAGCTCTGACTCCAGAGAGGTGACCGACACGCCCCGATATAACCCGTGACCGTGATGGACCATACTTGGGGATTCACATCAGGAACAGCATCGGACGTACCGATGTTGTTCTGCCTAACCCTCGTACGAGCACTGACAGGAGCGTCAGTTCACCACGACGTCCGCCAGGATGGAGTGGAGCGCCACGACCGGGAGATGATGCCTGCGCATGGCGTCAGTGACGGACAGGGCCGCGACGTGGAGCTGTCCCTATTGACGTCTACAAGGTCGGTGGGACCCGTGTGAAGGAAAAGAAGGACCTAGCGATCCTAGAGGACTTCTTCTCCTTCTCATTCTCCTCTTTTCCCTCCACTGTAACTCATGCTTTCCCTTGGCCTATAAAAGGGAAAGCAGGGCGTCCCATGAAGGGGACTCGAACCCATCGAACCACGAACCGATCAGAACACACAAGCACACAGTCAGGAAGCGACCGATCTCTCGACACCCATTCGCTCTCCTCACCAGACTTGGGACATGTCCCTCTCTCGACCGTTTGTAACCCCTACTACAAACTTTCAGTGCCAATAATATGAGTTGCAGCAACGAACTGGACGTAGGGACATTCTGCCCGAACCAGTATAAACCTCGTGTCCTCTTAGCACACCATCCGAGCTAGACGCGCAATATTAAAAATTTACTAGTCGGTGGCAACTCGAAACACCGACAACACCACGCAGTACCGGCACATTGTGGGTAGCCTTCGCTACCTCGTCCACATGCGGCCGAACCTAGCGTTCGCCGTTGGCTACGTCAATCGGTTCATACAGCGACCGACGACGGAGCATCAGCAGGCTGTCAAGAGGATCCTCCACTACGTCGAGGGCACCTCCGACTACGGCTTGCACTACCCGAGGTGCCCCGGCACAGAACACTTCATCGGGTACAGCGACAGTGACCTCGCCGACAACATCGACACAAGCAAGAGCACTAGCGGGACACTATTCTTCCTTGGCAAGTGTCTGATCAGCTGGCAGTCGATCAAGCAGTAGGTGGTGGCCCTTTCCAGTTGCGAGGCAGAGTACATCGCTGCCGCTACCGCTTCGACTCAGGCTCTCTGGTTACCTCGGCTGCTGGGAGATCTCCTGGGTAGAGACGTAGAAGCATTGGAGCTCAGGATGGACAGCAAGCCCACCTTGGCCTTGGCGAAGAACCCCGTCTTCCATGAGCGCAGCAAGCATATCCGCGTCAAGTACCACTTCATTAGAAGCTGCTTGGAAGAGGGGAGCATCAAGACCGGCTACATCAACACCCAGGACCAGCTCGCCAACCTTCTCACTAACTCCCTTGGGCGGGTCAAGTTCCAAGAGCTTCGCGCCAGGATTGGGATGGTTCAAATTCCCAAGAAGGTGCCACACAAGACTTAGGGGGAGAATGAAAGCATAAATCTTGTTGTTATCTATCTAGGATGCTTATCTTAGGAGTAGTTGGTGCATATATCAGCACCTTATCTTTATCTTTCCTTGCTTTAGCATCCCTAGAATATGCTGTAATCCTTTCTTAAGGACCAAGTATGCAGCCCTATATGTATCCCCAACTTGTCATAGTTTGTGGTAAGGTTAATGAAATCAGAAACCTAGCCCCAAACATGTGATTTGGTTCTAACATCCCTTACTTCAATCAAACTTATATGGCATTTCTTTTATAAGACAAATTTGGCTAAGGAGAACAAAGATCAAACACTGTGAGAGGTACAGCATCTTCTGTTTCTCACTAAAGAGATTACAATAGCCCCCCTCTTCATTTCACTGTTTACCATTATGAAGAGAACATACCTTGCATTTTTCCCATAGTGAAGGCAACAATTCCTCGGCAGTCATATTCTTCTGTAGTTTTCTATACATTGCATTGATTGTCTTGTCAAGCTGTCAACCAGATAAAATGAGAGTAAGGGATATTGCTTTATGACTAAGTTCATGAAAGTTCATAGATGTTAAAGACGAATTTACTCTCAACTTACTCCAGTTAAGCTAGACTTCAGCATCTTGCGAAAATCTACGTTTGACATTCCAACTTGGAAGGGTGTGGCAGTTAGAAGTATCCAACAATATACACTTTATACTTCTACCAACAGAACATACTGGGCACTAAGCCTAGAGAGTTAGACATTTGAAATAACTTTGTGAGCAAAAAATGCATTAGACAGGAAACAGTTTTCGGTCATGGACTGTAGAAGATAGACTACATAGCATAGCAAAGCATGGATCTAGAACAGTGAAGAGTTCACTAGTAAAAGCATTAAGGGTATTTCCATATCATTATGTCTATGGAAATACATCTTAACTGAATAACATGTTACTATTGGATGTGGTAACTAATTAATTTTGTTTCTCAAGAAATAGAAGGCACATGATCAAGACAGGGATCATTATCTGAAAACACTGATGTTTCTTTTGAAGTGGATACCTCAAGACCAAAAATAGCCCGTAATAATCCAGCTTCCGCGATATACGACGATTCGCTCGCTATCTGAGGCGTTAATTTACCTACTAAAATATCGCCAGTTTCTACCCAGGATCCCAACCTCACAACTCCATTTCTGTCCAAATTGCGGAGTAAATGTTCTTCTAGATGTGGTATTTGTTTAGTGATTTTTTCAGCAGAGCCTTGGCTTGTCGTGAATATATTTTAATACCACACAAGTCCAAGCTAGAACAATGCCGACAAATTTACCAGAGAAAATAGTCCAGCTCTGAGATTAGGTCACTACATGGCATAAACTTTCAGGAAGACAACGCAGAACCAAATCACGTGACTCACCTCCTCAGGGCTCATGTTGTACATTAATTCCTCAATTTTCCGAGCGAATTGGAATAGCTTTTTGAAGTGCTGAAAAACGCAAACAGGCATAAGTTCCGTGACACAAGCAGTAAATATAAATGCCTTAGGCCTTGTTTGGATGTAGTCCGATTCGAATCAATCCACATGTGTTAGGGTGGATTGGAGTGGAACTTGAACTAAATTACACCCCAATCCACACCGACAAATGTGGATTGAGGTGAATCCGATGACATCCAAACAATGCCTTAGTGTACGTCCCATTGGGAAATGGGAATGGAACCGAAAGGAGTTACAGACAACTTACAATATATATGACCAAATTGATATGGCGTGAACAAGCTTGTTCATAGGCTTCACTAGCTTGATGATAATATTTAGCAAGTGTTGGCACAACATTTGCCAAATCATACAAGCTGCATATCCAATTAATTATATCGTTAATTGGTTCTACAAAATGCTAGGTTTTCACAACTGTTACCGGTAAATTTCCAGCATTACTTGGTGCAGTTTATGACATTATATGTACCTTCATTCCGCAAACACAAAAACTTGGTGTTGCTGTTTTCAAACCTTTTTTGCTAAAGAAAAGTTCCATGTTTGCATTGGACATGAGATGTTCACATCTCATTTTCATTATTTTTTTTCTTAATTCTTACATGAAAGTGTTGATTTTTTTGTCACTTGGAGTCAATAGTTGTTGAGCAGATTGCAAGTGACAGATTATATGGAAGATCATAAAAATAACTAAATGCTATTTAGTGGGACATATGGACAGGACAGGTTCAATACAAAGTTGAAGGAGAGGGTTGCATCATTGCTGCCATCAGCTCATTTGTATAGGATGCACGCCTCAATAAAGAAACTGGTGAGTGAGAGGGGAATGCTGAACAAGCACTGTTTGGCGATTGCTTCCCCAAGATTGGCCCCCAAGACTCAGGGATCTAGTATATTATGGGGTTAGGCCCAACTGTTTGGCACTTGCTTCCCAAAGGTTGGGCCTTGTCTAAATGCAAAGTGTTCATTTGGCTAAATTGGCTTGCAATTAAAAATAAATGTTGGACTGCAGATAGATTAGCAAGAAGAGATCTTTCACACCCTCATAATTGTGTGTTGTGTGATCAGAAAGATGAAACGGTCCAGCACATACTTGTGAGATCAAATGGCAAGGTGCCCAGGCAGTGAACTTGTGAAGCGGGTATATGAGGAGACAAGGCAAATGTGAAGAGAGAGCTTATCTCTTTCTCACATCTTAAGCCTCTTAAGGTCATGCACTCATGCTCTATGGCTTTCCTATGTACAACAGTTACTATGCTGTGTTAATATTTACTACTTAGGTATTTTATTTCTTTTTTGTTATAGTTGATGAGGCAGCTGAAGGGTGTGTGGATTTTCCAATTAGTTCCTAAAATTTAGATAAAGGAATGGCAATATCCCAGTTGCACCAATCAAGGTTGCACAAAGCTTTAGCCATTAGTTGGAGGTTGGAACCTATTTGCTGTAGTTTCCATAAAATAAGTTATGAATGAAGGACGTTGAAGAAACTGTTTTTCATTTGTTCTTCAGCTGCCTCTTTAGCCAAGCCTGCTGGCAACACCTTGGTATAAATTGGGACTTCACAATGGATTTCTTCCGGATGATGCAGCAAGCCAAGGTCCAACATAACAATCCCTTTTTTTATGGAGACCTTCATCATTGCCACCTGGCAGATTTGGAAGCAGAGAAACAACTTTATATTAGAGGCCGGCCGTACTTTGATTCTTGGAAAAGCTCTTTCTATGAAGAAGTTAGACTACAGGCCCATAGATTCAGTTATGCTAAGAGCTCTGTCTTCCTTTCTTCCTTTCTTGTACAGCTGCTCTAGTTTAGCTCTGCTGCCCACCTCGGGCTTGCTTCCCTTTTTGTTTCCTCTTGTTTAGAGTTGTTGTTGCTCTTTTCGCTTTATAAAAAGTTTACAGTGGGGGCCTCCCCTGCTGTATTTTCTGCTCAAAAAAAATGAAGGACGTTGATAGGAACCGAGGTTCCTCCTCTGACCGAGCGTAGGTTGTAGCGGTGGGTGATCGGGGGCCGAGGCTTAAACCGCGATGGACCACGGCGGGGCGCCGTGATCTCGCGAAGGGAGAGGGTGGCGGCGCTACAGTACCGGCTCTACAGTGCCGCGGTACTGTTCACGGAAGAGAGAAGGCGGCTAGGGTTTCTCCGGCTCCCTGAGGAAGCCGGAAACAATAATTGTTTCTGCTTACTTTCCTCAATAGAGTTTACAGGTATTTATATGTCTCTGAATAATAATAATAGAAAATAACTCTAATATTATGTAAAATATGATAAATATGGGCCTTGAGCCCCCTAACCCGCCGGCCTCCTCTGGCCACTATTGGGCCTTCGCCTGGAGTACTGGATGCCGGTCATAACAGACGTAAGCATCATTATAGAGCTGTAAATGCCATAAAACAGTGGCACAGTCATACAAATGCACACAGAAGAGCACCAGGAGAAAAAAGAACTAAACCTGTGCTGAAAAGCTGCATAGTTTCACAAAAGTACAATATCAACATATTAAGGTTCCACTTGAGCAATTTTCTCCAGTATAACAAACATAATACTGACCTGTTTCAGTCACATATGGTTAACTAGAGGTGTGGTTGAGGACACAAATATAAATCGGAGTGGTATGAAATGGCCAACATTGGTTGCAAATGCATCAGTAGTTGGCGCATAATTTGTTAAATTATTTTTAACATTGGATGGTGAGGGGTCAGTAAGTTCATACGATTTTAGTATATGCCTGGTCAACTAGATCCCTGGATCCATTGATATATTGCTCCATACGTGCTGCAAGTTGTGAGAATCTATATAATAGAAAGGAATATGAACAAATTCAGATAAACATAGTTATGTATACCCATAGAGAGCCTATGGCAGAATTTTTCAGAATTTACAAATATCAATTTTAAACATAACACAGACCTGGGAATATAGGGAACAACTCCAACTTGCCACACATTGCGCTCATACTTCTCAATCTGGTAGCAGGCATCATCAACAAACTGCACTGACCAAGAATATGAAAGAATAAGGAACATATCGAAGAACTCTCCAAAGTAGAAAAAAGGCTAGCCTAATAGTAGAGTCAAACCCTGCTAAATAAAATTGTTATTCTTGTCTCCAAGTCATCAAGCAACACTTGTACATATCCGGAGACCTCTGCTTTCTGACCAGAAAGATACCGATCTGTTATTCCGTGCATAGATATGCAACTCAGTGGATTTAGCTTGAATGCCCAGTCAACCAAAGCATAAAAGTCCTCCTGAGAAGGAACCATATAAAACAAGTGATGTTTCAACAGTACAGTCCAAAATGTTGTTAATTCAGCTCTTGGCTCATCGGCATTTATATGCAATATGTGAGGAAAACTAATAAGGTCAACCTGAATACCATCAAGCAACTCCTGAAGGCATTCATTTAGCGCTCCCAGCTCGGCTGGATTGTTACCTGGAAAAATATTAACTTTTACACTTTTCTGAAAGGAAGAAAATCAATACATTCACTCCAAAAAATACTGTTTAACTTGGGAGGTGGTGGTTTATATTACTTGTTTTGATAATGCTTGCAGAAGCTTCTAATGCAACCGACGAAGTACTAGTTGATTCAGCATTAGGATTGCTACTTGAAGCATCAGATTGAGAAAGTGCGGAAACTTTTGAAGCACATAAATGTGCAAGGAATGAGCTCTAGTCGCAGATATTCATGAATAGTGTCATTAGGATACTAATATTATTAAGTCTTAACAAAAATAATGCAATGAAATACAGAACAACCTCATCTACAAGAAGTGGAATGAAAACAGTAATCATCTTGGAGTATGCATCTGCAGGACTATCTGTAATAATTGCAGGCTGGTTTGCACCTGCAGGACCCTCAAACAATGGTGTGCTGCTCTTTGACGCTTTTGAACTATTACGGAGTTCATTAGAAAAGTCACGTGACTACAAAACAAATGTGAGATTATTATGTCAGACCATTGTTTTTGTTATGCAATTTTTTAAGTTAGAGTCCTAGAATTTCTTAGAAAATTTAATGATGTATACTAAGCAGAAGTCAATAATTTTGACTAACTTTCAGTATTGAAGAGAAAAAAAAGTACTCATAGAACCCCACCTCACGGCAAATTAGCATGTTCAGTGAATGGCAGTAAGCTTTCCGCAAAGGCATCATACAACTCTTGTCCAAACTCTTGAAAACAGAGTATAAAGAGGGCATTAGAATGCACCAAATTTTACTAGCTAAAAGCCACTTGTTCCTCGTTATCAGTAGGAAAAACTTTCACATCGAGTTATTATGCAAAAACCTTGATGTGTTGTAGAAGCCGTGCATAAGTCCTGCATTTGTACCTCATATCAGCGTGATCAGGCCTCTGCAGCTGACCTCGCTGCAAGTGTTTAGGAGTGTGATTACAAAGATCCTGATTTTATCCTACACTTCAATATTACAGCTATTGAAGCCAGATTTACCTGAGAGAAGTTTACTTTGTCATTTAGCATAGAATCAATCAAACTAGGAAAGTAATTCCTTAAAAATTCTGATGCCCTCCAAACGAAGGTGCACTTAAGAAGTACAAATTCTGCACGTTTTTCCCTAATCTGTATATGTTTGCAAATCAGATGCAAATTAGTTAAGCCACATTTTTGTTTAAAATAACACAAAAGAATTACGTAAAAGCAGTGCATTATCCATAACATTATAGCCATAATCCAGATTTCCATTTCAATACCGTATCATCATGAGTGGAAACCCAAATTTCAAGAATAATAGAAAGAAAAGAAGGCAATAGACATTTGATTCTGGATTCGGCTTGAATCAAAGTTCAACATTATTTAAGTAAAACCACTTTAGCTGGCATCCTTTTTCAAGAAGTATTTAATTAAACGGAAATTATTCTAACCTTCCATATGAAATAAATTTAATTGTCTCGGGAATTTTTCTTCTTGGGAATTTTTCTTCTTTTCTCTGATCGATATATTTATCTTTCAATATCCCCAAAAGTCCTTCAAATGCAGGAGCAACATACTAATACATATATAATAAGGATTAAGTTAATATCCACTGATTTGCAATACTAAACGAAAATCTCAGGCATGTAAACCTTCAATAGGAAAAAAAAATGCTAATTGTACCAAGGGAGAGGACCTACAGCACGCAATTTTACATAGATTGGATCTATGTTGGATGCGTCTAGGTTCTTTATAGCACTGGTTAACCAGTCACAGGCTTCAATGTTCTTAACCATATTTCCTTCATCAAATGATCCTCCAGTTAATGATGCCTCATACTGCAGTATGATCAATAGCATCAGGAATTTCGGTACTATTGTAGCATAAATATTAATACAGGAAAAAGGAATTAATAGGTCAATAGAATGCATGCCTCAGGTGGAATCTGCAGCAGCACAAGCAATTTGTCAACCTCATCAATCAAAGCCACATTACTATCAGATTGCAACTCCAGTCTGTTATTACGCCATTCTATCTGCAAAACTATAAGGTATATATGTCTACTGTCAGTTCATGCATGAACTCGTACATTTTAATGGAATAGTTTTGGGGAGCTTCGGCATGATCAGACACGTAGATAGATCTGGTTAGTGAAACAGTTTATGGTATTTTGAATTCAGTTTCTGACAGATGGTGCATATTATTTACCTATTAGATAACATAGAACGAATGCCCTCACAGAGAAAGAAGATCCAAAATTACACAACGACAGAACAAATGTTGCCTACAAACACCTCTACTAACTCTCTTGCAGGTTTCTTGACCTTGCTTCCTTTTTTTTCTCGAAAACGCAGAAGAGCTGCATTTCTTTGCATTAAGAAGGCGACAACCCTTACAAACACACATTACAGGAAAACAAAAACAGTTCAGTTTAGTTTACAAAAGGTTGCACAGATCGCCGATGACAAACGACAAACACGATCCAGCCAATCGTAAGCCTGCTACTGTTCCCCATCCAGCACAAAGGCAAGGAGGTGGGAAATTCTTTTAGCCCCGTTACTGCATTATTACCAAAAAGAAAAAAAGATAACACTGCTGCACAGATTACAAAGGCCACATTACAATTGGACTTGTGTGTTGCATTATCATCTTCTACAACCTTGAAGTTCACTATAAACTGGAATTATAAGTTTCTAATTACTTGATATAAATGTGAAGGGTAACATCCATCGCAGGTCATAAATGAATATTTATCAATGATCCTGCAACTTCATCTTGTACATATGTTCATTTTTTAAACAATTAATATGAATATGGTAGGAGATTGCCCTAATGTCTTCAGTAGAGACAAGACTAAGTGTAAATTTGAACAGCCAAGATGCACTATAAGCTGTAAGCCTGTGACAAGCAATTCAAATTTGTTTCATTAAGCTCTTATTGGGCTTCTTTCCCTCAGACAACCCTAGAGTTCGGTTTCAAATGTATCAGGCATTAAAGGGGCCTTTTATCCCCTTTCTTAATGCAATGATACGCAGCTCTCCTGCGTATTCCAGAAAAAAATAAAGGGGAAAATAATTTTAATCACAACAACCCTAAGGAAATATAATTCGTGCATATACACTAGTAAAGGTGAAAGTAAGCATACAGATTGTATATCCTCCCTCATATGTCTGAGCTTTATATTGAAAATCCCTAGCCATTCATCCATATCTTCAACACATATACTGGCTATTTCTAGACCCTGCAATACCTCCAGGAAAAGAATACGGATTTTTTAAATTTATTGGAATTACCATTGAGAATAAAATAGTTGTATATAACCAGTCAAATATTTAAGGATGAAATAACAGGCACTCAATAGAACCTACTGAAACGAAATAGTTTTGGCATATGGTTGGTAATGAATTCATTTTTTCAATATATTTCAACATATAAGGTAAATCATGATCCTGCAGTGTTGAAACCTAACAGGCCTCTTCTCCGTGTTGCAGGCACGACGGCGAGGTGCTCGTGACATGCGGGTGAATCTGGCAAAGCACACAAACCCTGTGTTGGGCTAGCGGTTGGCGGTCAGATCCAGGCCTGTGGCGCCGTTTGACAGCGGCGACGGTCGGGAAATGCACCCGCTCGGAACACTGTGAATGTAACAGGAGTTTTCACCTTGCTCATTAATCTGAACGTGGTTTGCCTTGGCAACGGTGTCGTGAGGCGGCTAAAGGGATGCTAATCCGTGTTGCCTGCTTCGGCGGTGGCCTCCGGATGATGGAGCACGGCTCCAGCATCTTGTGCAGGGGGTGATCCCGCATCGCCCGCTCAGGCAGCAAAGGGACCTAGCCACCAGCACTGCTGCACCATCCATTAGTCCATTTGTGGTGTCTTTTGTGGGGTTGGGGTGGGTTGACCTGGGCGAAAGCCTCAGCTAGCTCCGGTTGGAGCCAACTATGGTGACACCATACGGTGCGACTATCTTCATTGGAACCATTGTTGGGGCGTCCTTTCTCAAACCGCGGTAAATCTCTAGGGGAAACTCCACCTAGAGCATAGGCGGGTGGCGGCGCTCGGCGTTGTATCCCTCCTTGAGGCACCGCCCAGGGGATCCCACGCTGAAGACACGAAAGTAGAGATGGAGGGTCGAGGGCGTATGGGCGACAGCAGTAGCCGTAGCTCACCGGTGACCGACCACCAATGGGCAAGATAAGTTGGGTAAGGCGCCTATTCAGGGACTTAAGGGCCTTCGTCGAAGGCACTTGCCGTCCTTCTTAGCTCAACGGTGACCGACCCCCAATGGGCGAGATAATCTGGGTGAGGTGCCGATTCACGGATTTAAGGGCCTTCATCGCAAGCACTTGCGTCCTTCCTGCTTATCTCCTGACCCGCTAGGTGGTGTTAACCGATCGGTGTGAGGCTCTCGTTTTTGGACACTGGAAGGAAGAATAGTTTGGATGAGGATAAGGGGCCTGCCAAAGCTCTTCCTAGTTGAGCGTTGAGTTTGTTCAGATGCACTGTGTGTCTCTAGAGGCAGACTGCGGTTGATTATTGAAGACTTCGATGCTGGAATTGCTCAACAAATGGGCTGGTGAAATCAGAATAGGATCAAGGCTTAAGTCTAGTATCTTAGTCTTGTGTCTTAAACTTTACTTTGTGGTAAAGTGTGGTCTAAGTACTATGTGTCTGTATTGAATGATTGGACACATTCATTTGTGGATGTTGAAGGCTGAAATTTTATATTCCTTAGTCTAAAAATGTTAAGAAGAGTGCATACCTCTTCGACGACAGATTCAGTTTCCATCAGGGCATAAACATTTGCAGATTCTAGAGCTACAAGTTCGCGCTTCATCCTTTCTGAAAAAGCCTCTGCTTCACCAATGGCCATAACATAACTGGAAAAAAAGAGTTAGCTGCATCAGTTATATTGTCAAGCAAAGGTATACCATAGACACATAAAGAATCCATTTGCACTCGTGCCAAAACGTTAGAGGCACACAATGGCAATTATGACATTTTCACTGCAATTTCTGGTATGAGACGTGGAGCATGTTAAGGTATTAGTCCAGGAGTCCAGCATATCCAATCAATTGGCAGTTTGGCACAAGATAGATAAACTGAATAATCAGGATCTGCAAGCACAGAAGGTGGCATGCCAACTGCCAAGGAGATATCTGAAGTGGTTTAGATTGGATTCAGGTAACTTACTTGCCAAGAAGAGTGTCAGTGTCCTCTTCTGCCTGAGAAACCAGGTCCTTCTCAACGATAACATGTGATTCAGCCTCTAATACTAGTGATTCCACAGGCCCATCTTTACTTCTCACTTGTGTAACCTTTGCTTGAGTGTTCTGAAATTCAATTCATTGTTACAGCAAAACATAGTACAATCTTATATACAAATGCTACAATCCTTTGCTGGAGTGTTCTCCTAAATTATAGAATGCTAACAATCCTTTTGTCAGTGCTTGTAGAATCAACAGTCAAAAGCAAAAGTACATATATGCAGAGACACACATAAGGTACTCAAACATGTAGATCACAGTCTAGTAATTTTAACCTCAAGTGACAATCTAGTACATGTCTTTATGCATTACAGCTGCAGAAAATGTGACAAGGAAAAAGGACGACTAATTGCAAATCTGCTGGTAATGTTTTGCACACCACAGTTGAAAGTGCCACTATGACAAGGACGACAGACTTTGACTGGCCCAATACAAAAATTCTTTGTATGAAGCATTTCATCAAACACCTTCTAGGCAGAAACCTGTGTCGATTGCTGGTGAGCAATGATGCAGCAAGGCTCATTCATCTCCTTTTTTTGGAGAAAACGTATCCTCAACCTCATTATGCAACAAAGCGATAGGCCCATTCATCTCTCAGCAAGGGCTCCAGCCGCCATGGCATCGCACTACAGGAATGCTGCCTCCAATATCGAGGTCACTGGCGGCCCCGCGACCCAAGCCGCGGCCACAATGACAGCCCCAGGCAGCAGAAGCTCCGCTGGCACACGCACAACACGACTGACGCCACCGTCTACGTTTCCCTTTCCCTGCTCCACCATGGCTACGGCGCGCTCACTCCCAGAACAATCACCACCGCCACCACGCGGTCCCACTTTGGTGCCACTCCACCAACGCCGCCACACTGTTCGCGTCGGAGGGGAGGGTGCTGGCGGCCAGGAAGATGTGCCGTAACCCGGCACTCACGGACGCGCGAGGGTGCGTGGTGGAGGTGCCATGCCATTCTATATCGGAGCTATGGGGAGGACTTCGGTGGCGTTTGGCAAATGGGCTTATAGATGGCCATCGGGCCGTGCCGGCCCGCCCGTGGCCCGGCATACCGTGCCGGCACGGCATGGCATCGTGCCTCGACGGGCCGTCGTGCCGGCCGTGCCGTGCCTAGGCCGTGCTCGTGCCTGGCCAACAGCCCATGGCACCGCCCGTGGGCCGTTTTACCGTGTCGTGCCGCCCGGTGGGCACGGATATTTTCACCGGGCCGTGCCGGCCCATGGCCCATGATGCACACTTCACATATCACAGTTCACACTTCACATAATCAAAGTTTCACAGTTCACACAATCACACTTCATTCACAGAATCAAAGTTCACACTTCTTTCACAGTTCACACTTCACAGTTCCACAGAAAAGAGAGAAGACAGACACAGCACATAGATGACAGATCATATGATGATGAACTTATATTCAGAATGAGTTGTTTTGTGCAATGTTGCCTCATTAAAAACCTTTCTAGGTAAAACTCACCCTTGTGAGAAACCCTAAAAAGAAAAAAAGAGTGCAGCCAGCTCTAAATGTCAAGGTCTTATAGTTCTATCCTATTAGGATAGCCAACATCAGTGGCAAAGTCATTGTGACTTAGTGAGTTCACAGATCACAGCAACAGGAAGCCAGGAAGGCAGGAATAGCAAAAGTTCTATCCTATTACAACATCAGGTCATTAGTGGCAAAGTTCTTCCTTCATTGATCATAGTGACTCACTCCAGCACACCAAAAGTTCCTACAAGCAAAGCAATGTTAGTACCAGCAGTACTTGAATATAAAGAAATGATGCAAAATAGAACTTGAATGTTGAGTGACTACCTCTCATCTTCTCTTCTTCTTCTTCTTCTATCCACCAGCAGCACCAGCAGTACTGCCGTTGCCGCTGATACTGCTGGAGCCGCTGCCTTCACCTTGTTCATCGAGGAAGAGGTTCTTGAATGCCTCCTCAAGGTCTAGGTCCTCAGGTGTATGCTGTTCTCTTCTTGCACCTTGCTCCTAGTCCTTGATGCAGGTGAGCATCTCAACATGCTCAGGCAACAAGCGCCGCCGCCGATCTTCGAGTATCCTGGATGTACAGCTGAAACAGGACTCGAAAGAGACAGTAGACACAAGGACAGACATAATATCTTGAGCCATAATAGACAAGATTGGATAAGTTAGCTTGTGGTCACGCCACCAGAGGAGTATGTCAAAGGATTCCTCATAACATGTGACAGGGTCACTGTCCAAGTATGCTTTGAGCTCACTAACAACAGATGGAGTATGAGTTGAGGGGGAGGAAGAGACAGGGGAATCACCAGGACCTCCAAAGATCCTTCCCCATGCCTGTTTTGTCTTACCAGTATGAGCTAAAGGGATTGAAACCCTCTGAGACCTCACTGCACCAAATTTCTGTTCATACTTGCCAAACAATTTATACAATTCATCTTTTACATCAGCATAGTATGAACTATAAATGCATCCAGTTGCCTTACCAAGCAATTCAAGCACATTAAAGAACCCTTTCATCTTAGCTCTAGGATCAAGAATGAATGCATATGAATAAATGAGTGGAATTTTCTCCCAATATTTAAGGAATTTAAGCTTCATAGGAGTAGCAATCATTCTAAAATTAGCATCTCTTTCAGCATTTTGTAAATGTTCAGCCATGTCAAGCATATGGTGCAAAACAAGTGGAGTTGTGGGATAATAAACCCTAGACAGCACAACAGTAGAGTTATAGAAGAGTTCCAGGAATATCATTATTTGTTCAGCAACATGCCAATGCTGTGCAGTCAACAAAGTAGAACCATAATTAGAGGTAATAAATACATCAAAGACTTTTTTGTATGGCAACAAATGTTTGAGCATCAAAAAAGTAGAATTCCATCTAACATCCATGTCCAAGCCAAACTTCCTAGGTCTAAGACCGTGAGCATTGTAGTAGTTTTTAAACAATGCAATTCTTTGATTAGAGGAATTTAAAAAACTTATTGCAGTTCTGAAATCTTCAGTATAAGGTTTCAACCTCTTCATGCCAGATTTAACAATAAGATTGATGATATGGCATGCACAACGCTGATGCACAAGCAAGTACTGCACCTTGTTAGGATCAGTGGGGGTAGATGCAGGATAAGAACCCAAATAACTAAAGAACATAGGCTGCAAAATCTCATATGCCCTAGAATTAGCAGAAGCATTGTCTAGAGACACAGAAAATACCTTGTCTATCAAACCAAACTCCTCAACCACACTAGCAATCCTATCAGCAATGTTATCACCAGAATGTGAAACATCAATCAGCCTTAAACCAATTACTTTTTTCTGTAACTCCCAATCAGCACTAACATAATGAGCAACCACAGATATATAATCCTCTTTAGCATTACCAGACCAAATATCAGATGTCAAAGAAACAAAAGATGCAGCAGGCAACACAGATTTCATAAGCATATCACGTTGTTCATCAAACAGTTTAGACATATCTCTAGTGGTGGTCTGCCTAGAAACCTTTTGGAACAGAGGATTATGAGCACGCTTAATGTAATCCTCCCAAGCATCAGTCTCACCTATCCCTAAAGGAAGGTCTAGCCTAGCAATCAAACAGCACAACTCAGTGCGAGCAATCAAAGGATCATACACCCAATTGTTCAAACCATCAGGATTAAGAGCAAGCTTAGATTGGACAAGACTAGCCTGATCACGTTTTTTCATACAAGAATTCATGTGCCATCTCAAATGGCCAGTGCCAGCGGCCGATCTAGCAGTGTATCGCGCATGACAATGTTTACAGATGGCACGTACTCGAATTCCCTTCTCCTTAATCTCATGGAAGTAATCCCAAACAGCAGAAACTTTCTTACCAGAGGAGGTACCATGAGTGTCAGTGGATACCTCAACTCCACCATCGTTGTTGTCGCCATCGACATCGATGGGCTGGTTGCCGTCACCGAGGTCGACGCCGAACAGACCGGCTGCATCATCACGTATGTCGTCGTCGTCCTCGACTTCCAGTAGGTCATCCGCATACGGCGCCTGGTCCTCGCCGTCACCGAGGGGATGCTGATTCTCCCCCCGCGTTGCGAGGCCAGGACCGCCCGCGGACGAGCCGGACAGCCGTGCCCGACCTCGACCTCCAGCAGCACCAGCACCGCCCCTCAACGAGCGCTTGGGCGGCCTGGCCATGTCTACTCTAGAGGAGGAAGACGCGGCGTCAGGCGCCAACCTGCACGCAAGAAGAAGAAGTTAGAAGAAGTGAAGAACTGAAGAAGAAGTGAGAAGAAGACGAAGAAGAAGTGAGAAGAAGAAGAACAGATGACAGATCTAGGGTTAGGGTTAGGGAAGAAGTCCAACCTGTGTACCCGGAGCCCAGTGCCGGTGATGAAGAGGCCAGCCAAGCAGCGGATGAGATAGACAGACACGGATTAGAATCGACGGCGAGGTGGTGGAGGAGGAGGGACTGCCATGAACACTCACATGGTTCACCGAGAGGGGAGTGAGAGGGAGTGAGAGTAGAGGAAAAGGAGGGAGGAGGAGACGGCGGGGAAGCAGGGACCAGGGAGGAGCGCCGGCGCGGTCACCGCTCACCGGTGACGGGGACTCGGGGAGGACAGACGAACGTCGGTCGTCGGCGTCGGCGGCGGTGGATCTGGATCGAGAATGGGAGAGCGGAGCGAGAGAGAGAGACTGAGAGAGCCGCGGCGGGGGAGAGGATTAGGTTAGGGTTTGGCAGGGGGATGCGCACGGCCGGACGGCTTATACACGACGAGGGGAGAGGGGTGCGTGGGGTGGGCCGGCGCCCGGCAGCCTGCCTTCGTGGGCCGTTTCTTCGACCGGGCCACCACCGGGCTGCATCATGCACCGTGCCGTGCCCGTGCCGTGCCACGGGCCAGGCCGGCGGCCCAGGCACGGCGGCCATCGGGCTGGGCCAAAACAGCGTGCCACGGGCCGGGCCGGCGGGCCGCGGGCTGCATGGCCAAATATAAATGGGCTACGAGAGGTGGCCAGGTGGGATTGGGAAATGGAAATGTACGAATGGCTAGAGTTAAATAAGGTATGAAAAACGTTGAGCACACCTCAGTACAACTTGGCTATGAGCGAAGACAAATCATCAATAGACAAGTTAATAGTCTAAAGGATACAATTAAGATAATCTGCTGCTATCTAGAAAAGTCTACAAGCAATTGCAGATCAGGTTCCTTGCTACTACAGTGCAATTTTCTTGCAAATGTAGAGCAAGTTTCTAGCAAGGCTTAGCAGCTAAGTGAGACTATAGAGTAGACTAGATTTGAGTGCTACAGCAGTCAACCTTCACTAGGAAGCTACCTCTATAGAGTAGACTAGACTTGACTGCTACTTCTTTCGTCCTAAAATAAGTGACGTTTTTTACTTTCAAACATCTTGTTTGACCGTTTGTCTTATTCAATTTTTTTGTGTAAATATTATCAATTTTATTATGACGTAATTTATCATTAGATATACTTTAATAATAATTTATTTATTTTATAATTTACATAAAATTTTTGAATAAGACGAATAGTCAAACAAGATGTCTGGAAGTCAAAAACATCACTTATTTTTGGACGGAGGGAGTATAGCAGTCAACCCTCACTAGTTACCTCTATGTATATATATGCAACTATGGTAATGTAAAAAGTAGTTCGGTTTGCTACACCTACGTACTTGAGTGTGCTGTGAGTGTGAGTATTTTGTTTTGTAGAGCACAGCAGCAACACTAGCGCGGCAGCAGCATTCAGGAAAGTGCAGCAGCACTTTTCTTGTGTGTGCTTTGTGCTTATTCTCTCTTCTTCTACCTCTAGCCAAAGGTGTTGTGTGGGTGCTCGTGAGCACATGTGGATTGAAGTAAAATTTAAACTAATTTTCACATGTGGGAATGAATTAGTGTTATATCATCTAAGCTATAATTAAAATTGGGGCAGAGCATAACCATAGAAGATAGGTTGAGCAATGGTGCATGGTTTTCCATCATCATCAATCGTGTTCCACACAGGAGAATGAGAGTGTGAGTGCGACAACCATAGTATCATGTGAGAATAATATTTGATACATTTTTGCCATTATATTGCTTTGGGAATAATTGATTATTATGCAATCACCTTGCCAAGCTTTTACCGTCATTGAAGTATATGATACCTTATCAATGAGACAGTGACCAAATATAGACTACAAACCATTGCACACATTCAGAACCAGCTTGGTCATTGTAAACCAAAAGAAAGACATGTATCGGCAACGCCTAATGAAGCAAGAGACATGATACCTTTGCCCAGATAGCCATCTCGACGACGTCCATGCCGACGACTTTGGGGATGCTTCCCAAGTGCTCTTTGCACATGTCGAGGATGCACATCAGCAGGGGGTTCCTGCAACAGATAAACAGGGTGTACAACCTTGAACTGAGGTCACATGCAGGAGCAGGATGGGCTAGGAATCGTGATGCTGATGCGTCGGTCACCTGTCCTCTTTGTTGCGCATGGTCCATTGTGGAGGTGCGACACTCTGGCTTCTCAGGTTGTCAAACCCCTGAACAACAGTTTAATTTCCAGAAAGCACAACAGTGATTTGTCATGACAAGGAAATAATATATTTAATGGAAAATATACATATGCTGCTTCCCTTAGAAACCATTTATGCAATTTAATTTCAACCCGTTCTTGACAACTCTAAAGTTGAAATCTGAGACACCTTCAAATACAATGGATCCATTGACCTCTACAACTAAAATATACGGATTGTCAACATCTACTCGGCAGGACCAAAACACTCATGCAATCCATATCCGGCAGGCAAATAATCACCGCATGGAGACACTGGAAGGCAAGTAAATAAAATAGAATAAAACTCACGGAATCACTGGCAGGCAAATAATCACCTCATGGAGACACTGGAAGGCAAGTAAATAAAATGAAATAAAACAGAAAGAGAATTATGGGAAGAGAAAGGAATTTATTGAATATCACCACGCAATGATCATGATCGTGATCCAAATCTCGTTCATCATCCTTCGCGTTGCGTGTTGACAACAAATACTTTTTTTTCCCAAAAAATGAATTGGTGCCATGCCTCATGCGGGCTAGGATATTGTAAGTCCGAGTATACATGTTTTGGGCAAGGCAGAGCATGGATAAATTCAATTCGATGCCTGGCAATAAATTTTTGGCCTTTGAGGCAACTGATGTTTGTCGTAACTTTCAGACAATAAGCTCCAAGCCTAGCTTTTATTTCAGATTCATTTCGATAATGAATGTGTTTCTAGACATTATCATGGTATAATATACGTGAAAAATTGAATTGATATATTCTTGATTTTTACTTAGGTAACAAACATCTCATTCAATTTATGTTGCACCCGTTGCAACGCACGGGGACTCATCTAGTCTTCTGTTATTTATTCTGGAGAACGGGGAAGTGGTGGCATTCCAAGACGAAGGTGCAGCCGCTGGGATCGTTTTGGGCGACCTCTATCTTGTGGAGATGCTTGATCTTGTACACCTTTGCCGGCTGATACATGCATGGGCAATCAGAATCTGATCAATCATCCATCTTTACAATAATTTTCTATTCTGGCGAAACAATCAATCTGCGGAAGAACAACAAACAAACAAAAAAAGAGACAGCTGGAAGAAGAAGATCACGCACCTCGAGGACGCCGCCATTGGAGTACTTGAGCACCCGCAGGAACGACTTGGTCTTCTGCCCTTTGACCTTGGCTGCGCCACGCACGAGTGGATGAGCATGTCATCATCATGCATGGTTTGGAACGTGCGTGCATGGATTGGAAGCGGGGAGGGCCGGGGATGGATACTGACTGGTGACGGCGAGGACGAGGGGCATGGCCATATTCTGGCGGGAGGTGAGCTTGACCTTGGCCAAGCCGCCGCCGCTGCCGCGGCTCTAGGCGACGCGCATGCATATCACCACCTTGTCCCGGTCCCCCTTGGCGAGGATCCCGGCCTCGCACCCGCGCTTCAGCTCCATGTCGTCCGCGCTCGACCGCGCCATGTCGCCGCCGCCGCCCGCCGCTCGGCTGGCCCCTCAACGTGTGAATGGAGGCTTAGCTTCAACCGGATTCAATCGTTCCAACGACTGGGTCGTCGCTGTCGCCGGATGGGAAGGCCGTCAGGTTGCAATGGATAGAATGAGATCGGGATCAGGTGGACACATTCCAAATCTCTTGGTTTGCAATTACTTTTTTTTTTCTTTTGCACGAAACTGATGAATGATGACGAACCGTTCGCTGCATGCACGGGAGACTGGTGGCGTTGCCCGCTTCCTCCATCCCTTTCTCTATTTCGGGTAACATTTCACTATTTCAGCCACCATTCAAGGAGAGAGATGAGAACTTCCTCCATATCCTAGCTCCATTTGCGAGCAACATGGAGCCCCCCTGGAAATGCATGGGTAGGCCAGACCGCCACACTAACACTTTTACCTACCCCGGATTCGTTCCCATCCGTTCGGAAAAGAAAACAACTCTAGTATCAAATCAAACTAAAAAAATGTCACTATTTACAATATCAAATAAGTGTTATTGGATTTGTTCTAAAATACTCCATCCGTTCTAAATTATAAGTCGTCTTGACTTTTTTGATACATCCATTTTGCTATGTATCTAGACAAAGTCAAAGCGATTTATAATTTGGAATGGAAGAAGTATATTTTTGCCATATGCCTATTTTGTGACATAAATATTAATACTAATTTTTATAAACTTGGTCAAACTTTAGAAACTCTGACCGAAGATATAACTAGAATTGCATCCTTTTCAGAGGTAGTACCACTCTACCTATAGTAATTTCTAAGAGAGACGTATTAGGGCATCCTTGACAAGCTCGATCGAAAATAAGGCAGGGGCAGAAGTGAGATATATATGTCATCCACTTTCGATGTGTTTGGATTGCGTCACAAGACCGATTTTGGAGCTGAAATGATCAAGATGCCCAAGAGAGAGGTGAATTGGGCTAATTCTAAATTTCTTTGCAATAATTAAATCCAACGGTTAGCCTAATTAACCCCTTGTGTCTAGAAAGTGTTTCTATTGATCTACCGCACAAAAGTTTAATAACCTATGTTTCAATCCTACTCTAGCATAGCAATTCTATAAATATAAATGACAAGAATTGAATTGCTCAAAGTAAATGCTCAAATTAAAGAGAGAAGGAGCAAGAACGCAACGATATTTTGCCGAGGTATCAGAGAGTCGCCACTCCCCACTAGTCCTCGTTGGAGCACCCGCGCAAGGGTGTAGCTCCCCCTTGATCCGCGCAAGGATCAAGTGCTCTCTACGGGTTGATTCTTCGACACTCCGTCACGGTGAATCACCCACAACCGCTCACAACTTGAGTTGGGTCATCCACAAGCTCCACCGGATGACCGCCAAGCTCTCTATAATCACCAAGCCATCTAGGTGATGGCGATCACCAAGAGTAACAAGCACGAACTCTCACTTGACCACGACAAGCCTAATGAGATGGGTGGATGCACACTTTGCTACTCTTGCTTTCACTAATGAGAGGGCTCTTTTTGGGATTCTTATATCTCAATTACCTCATTAGGACCTTACTCTTCTTGGCACTCTCAAAGGTGTTTCTCAGCTGTTGGAATGAGCAAAAGTATCCCCACACACGAATGGAGGAAGTATTTATAAACCCAGCTGAAAAATGAACCGTTATGTGCTTCTGTGGGGTGACCGGACGCTCCGGTCAGTACACCCCGAAATCCAGTGTTTAAGTTGTGACCGGACGCTGGACAGCGTCCGGTCAGCACTGATCGGACGCGTCCGGTCGTGATTTTCCCTCTCTAGAACCTTACTGGAGTCGACCGGACGCTGGCACCTAGCGCTCGCCCACTCACTTCTCAGCGTCCGATCACGCCAAACGATTTCACCTTGATCAAATGAACTGACTGGACTCTGAGCCAATGTCCGGTCACTCCGGAACTAGCGTCCGGTTAACATTTGACCTTCCATTCACTTCTAACTCTCAATCATATGTGAATGAAGTTTGCTCTATTGGATCTTAGGGCTATTTTGGAGCTACCTTGTCCTAGATTTAGCAAGTGTGCACCACAGCTAACCCACTAGACTCACCTAGGTTAAGCTACCCGTCCATACCCCCCTTAATAGTACGATCAAAGGAAAAACAAAGTTCTAAACTACTCTAAGTGTCTCTTCAACATCAAACGATACTTAGAACTAGTCCATCCTTAACCTTGACGTCCATCCTTTGAAAACCGAAACGATTTCCATCGTAGGGGCATGACCACCATGATTGCCCAATCGATCTCCATTACCATGACCTAACTTAATTGCCTCTGCAAAACACATGTTAGTCATAGTAATCACGTATTGTCATTAACCACCGAAACTCAACTAGGGGCCTAGATGCTTTCAATCTCCCCCTTTTTGGTGATTGATGACAATACCACCTCGAGTATGTGAAAGAGATGAGGTTTTTAACATGCTTGGTTCATATAAGCTTTTGACAATAAGAACAAAAGAGTTAGGCAAGTTTATATGACCCAAGCCAATATGATGTACTCAATAGATATGAAATAAGCATGAGTACAAGTAATAAAGCTCATTTGCATCGGAGTAAAACGCGGAAGCAAAAGCAAATGAGCATAGTACAAGTGATATGACATATAAATAATTCAAAGTAGAGAGCACATATGTCACATATCACATAAATATCACGATCACATTAATATCACGATTACGATCACACTTATGTAGTTCAATGCATAATAGTAAACATGAATGCATAATGTATCACACATAAAACTCCAAATGTAATAGATAAACTAATAAGTAAACTAAGCTCCCCCTAGATATGTCACTCCCCCTAAGGCTAACATACTCGATCCCTCTCCCCCTTTGGCGTCAAACGCCAAAACCTAAGGGTCGGTCGGCGGGGCTGCAGCGGACGAGCCGGCGCTGAGGTACGAGGAGCGAGCTAGAACTGCGTGCCATCATCATCCGATCCTAAGCTCTGAGCTATCTGACCCTCTGTAGCTGGAAGCAACGCTAAAGCGGTTTGGGTCAGCCCAACAACTGGTACAGCCTGTGATGCTGCAGGTATGACTGACACAGGCGCCTCTGATGATGCAACTGAGGAAGGGAGCGTCTCTGTAGTCCCGGTAATAGGTGCAACTATGGAAGGACCTGGGACATGTAGATATGGCAGAGTAGGTTGCCCTGTCAACCCACTAAATGTCGCTCCAAGGCTCCTAGAGACTGAGGTATCTGGCACAAGCAGCGAGGACGTCTGAGCCGGTGTGAAGCCCGTCTAAAGAGGTGTGAACTGCGGGGCTAGCACTGGCGAGGCAAACCACTGGGACAACTGCTCTGTAGGTGAAGCAAACTGTGCTGGTGGTTGTCCCTGACTCTGAAGCCCACTAGGCTGTAATGCTAGAGTCATGGAATTGGTGGTAGACTGACCAAGCTGGGTCGAAGGCTGTGGCGGTGGAGCCCCAATAGCTGTCTCAACATGCTGCATAAATCTAAGGAGCTGCTGCTGCATGAGGAGCTGCTACTGATGCATGACCTACTGCTACTGTTGTATAGCCTACTGCTGCTGCTGAATACCTTGCTGCTGTCTCTAAAACTCATCCTGCCGAGTCTGAAATTGTGCAAAAGCGGCAGCGATCTCCTGTGCCTGACGAGCCTGATCCTGCCTCATCCGCTCAAGTATAGCAAGTAGAGCGGGATCTCTCTGTGGTGCAGGTGGAGCTGAACTGGAACTACCGGCCTCATGATCATGTCGTCGTGGAGGCATCTGAGGAATAGCCTGGTAGTCATCATCTGAGCTGTCACTGGGGTCGCTCTCTACCATACCCTCCTGCTGAGCATCAAGCTGCTCCTCCTCTGTAGTTGCAATGCCTCTGATGGTCTCATCCTGCTGGGCTACAGCCTCTAGCACCTTAGGGCGACGGCGTGACTGGCTAGGTGCACTAGTCCTACTGTGCCGTATCATCTAAGTCATATTGTAGGTAGGGAACTCTGTCGTAGTACCACTATACTCAGCTAGCATCTTAGGTGGCCTCACTGTAACTGCCCTATGGATAAGAAAAGTGATCCAATGGGCATAGGGCAACTGTTGATGACCTCTGAACCCCTCTAGAATAGTATCCTCCATCTCTGATAGAAGGAGATCCCAAATATCAAATACTATCTGCGCTATCAGAGAGTTGAGAAGCCATAACTGTATGCGAGTCAAGCCCTCGCAATACCCCATCCTCGGAAGCAGTGTCCTCCTCATGATAGCCTCAAGCACTCTAGCAGTAGGAGTGAGGTCACTAGGTGTCATGCTTGACCCTTCACCGAATGACTCTATGAAGCAATGGCGAACCAAATCTGTAGGAGGCACCATACCACCATGTGGGCGTCTAGGAGGTGCTGTCTGTCCATAGCAAACCTCATGAAGCCAGACGGGCTGCTCCTGAAGCCTGAGTATCTCCCTGACCCTAGAGCTCATTAGCCTATAATCTCTGCCTTTGAATGCAAAGTGTATAAATCTGTGCTGTGGATCAATCTAGAGAGTAGCATAGAACTCACGGACCCAAGATGGAACATATAAGCCTATCCGTCCGAGTAAGTCTGTCAGCCCTGGCAGGTAATATAGGTAAGGGCGAATATGCTCTCCAGCTGCTCTACAATGAACTTAATGTTGCACACTCTCTGTGATCTGAATACAGCCCCACTGTTAAGATAAGCATTATAAAAGTCTTCCTGTAGTGGTGTGTAGAAGCCCTCAGAAGCACGCTCATCCCTCCTCAGTGGGAACCAGTCCTCAAACGCTACAAATCTGAGCTGCTGAACCTGCATGGCCGTGGTGGACCTCAAATCTAGATGAGTCACTAGAGGCGGACCCTATGGTCTAGGAGGCAGACGAGAACCCATCCGCTGTGTCTCTGGCCTTGGTGTGACTAGAGCACGGGTATGACTAGAGCGGCGTAACTGTGGCTGACGTGCCTGCTCTGTCTCCTTAGCCTGCTCTCCCTCC